ACCCAGTGCCCTATCCTACTGTGGCTGAGTGGTATCCAAATTGCAAGATAAAGTCCTCTTTACTCTTTTCTGCCCTCCCCTCAAGTGAAATGAAGGAGTCTTGTTGGAAGCAGTTAGATGTGCTGCTTCAGGTTGGGGGAGGGATGGCACAACCCAGAAGTCAAAAGTCTTTAGCTGCTGACTAGGTCACCTATTTCGCAAGCCCAATGGCTCTGACCCCACACAGCACTAAAACTTGCCCAGGAGTTGCAGTTCTTATGGCCTAGACTGCATTTCAAGTTGTTTAGGGCCTCAGAGCACTTTAGCCCATGGTGGTTAGGTTTGCCAAAGCTTAGGTTGTAACATCTGGAATGGGTGATTTCCCTCTGGCTAGGGCTGGCCTAAATGCTTCCCCTCCCTTGGCATTGGCTGAGGTCTGCCCATTTTGGCAGCACCGAGTTCCAATGCAAAGTCTCACTCTCCCTCCCTAAGAACACAGATTCTCAGTGCCTCACAGCTAATGCTGGGGGCTGGGGAGGGATGGCATCCACAATTCATGACTATCTTTCCTACCCTCTTCAGTGCCTCTTTCAGTAATATGAAGTTAATACCAGGTACTGTGATCACTCACTTGATTTTTGATTTTCATGAAAGTGCTTTTTTGCTTTAGATAGTTGTTAAATTTGATTTTTTATTGAGACAGAGTCTCACTCTGTCACCCAGGCTAGAGTGCATTGGCACAATCTTGGCCCACTGCAACCTCCACCTCTCGGATTCAAGCAATTCTCCTGTCTCAGCCTCCTGAGTAGCTGGGATGACAGGTGCCCACCACCATGCCCGGCTAATTTTTGTATTTTTAGTAGAGATGGTTTTACCATATCAGTCTGGCTGGTCTCGAACTCCTGACCTCAGATGATCTGCTCACCTCCCCCTCCCAGAGTGCTGGGATTACGGGCATGAGCCACGGTGCCTGGCCAAATTTCCTGTTTCTATGGGAAGAATGATCAGTGGAGGCTTCTATTAAGCCATCTTTCTCTGCCTCAATACTGATTTTAAAATATTTAAATGCACCCAGCAAAACATGTAAAAATCATTCAAAGCGTCTTATACACAGGAAATTATAAAAAAGAGTTAAAGTGATTACATATGTATTTTTGAAAATTATTCCCTTAAATGAAAATTTGTTAAAATCACTAGAACCACTTTTTACATATCAATCTCTAAGGGAGTTCTGTCATTTTAAAAGTATTTGTACTTGGATTGAGGTCCTTCATATGTGACTCTGTGTGTGTGTATGTGTGTGTGTGTGTGTGTGTGTATCTGTATAAGATAAACACACATGCCCATATACTTTTTAGAATGTTTTTATATTTTATATTAATTATTGTTGGACATCAAGTGATTCTTAGGTTATGGATAACTATAGTTGCAGTTGAAGAGTTAAACTGTAAACTGCTCATTAAAGGAAAATTTCTTTAGAAAAATAAGCATTGAATATGAAGAGTGTCATTTATTTATCCTCCCAGCCATTACTGGAAGTATTTAGAAATTTGGGGTTATTTACTGTGAATTTCCACTATACATAACAACCTTTGGTAGAATTAGCAAATTGGATTCATTGCCTGATATTTCAAATATTTATATATTTTAAAAAAGATTATTCTCACAAGGCCAAAACAGCTGGAGAATGTATACAGAAATCAGTCCTTTATTATCAGCAAGGGGAAATAAAATCCAGTCGTTTGACTACATAGAAAGCTGATTAACTAAATTATCAAAAACAAATTTTCAGTTAGATGTTTTGTTACTTCTGGAAACCACCATGGTTTGCATCCTGTTGGTTTGGACTTACAACATAAAAACATTTAGTCTAATTAGAATAATATCAATGAACAATTTCTAGGCAATTTTGCTTGCTTTTTTTGTTTCATTATACAACTAAAAATTTAAAGAATATGGAATTGTATAAAGAGTAATCATTCCTCTTTTTTAAAAAATTCCTTCCTTTAGGGTAATGATTCTTTATAGTGAATTCTTCCCTTTCCAACTTATATTTGTATGTATGCAAAGATGTAAAATATTAGAGAAAGAAAGCTGGAGAGAGAGAAATACAGAAAAGTAGAAATTATTTGGGATTAAAAAGGGCTTTAACATTTTTTAAAAATTAGAATTAGCAACTTCACTGTCAGAGTGCTGAGGTGATAGGGAAGGTGAGCATAGGTAGTTACCAATAATTGTGTTTTCCCCTTTATAGCAAGTTTATTTTGGAAATTATATTATTAAAATATATAAATAAATTAATATAGATATGATAGAACTTCAAGAGAATAATATGGATATATGTAGATGTGTATTCATACCTGTATATGTGCATATACAATCTCCCATATATGTACCCAGTATGTAACCAGTCGCACACAAAAACATAAATTTGTTTTTGCAGAACAGAATCATTACTGTGCTGCAAATTATTTTATTCACTGAACAATATACTTCCCAGTATTTCTGCTACTAGATAACTAGAGTTATTTTTTCCAAAATCAATAGCCAATTACTCTGATATAATTTATGAAATGATTGGTCATTTCACTCCTGATTTGAAATGCACCTTTTCAACACTAAATTTCCATATTTACTTGAATCTATTGCTGAACTTTCTCTATTCTACTTCATCCTCTATTCCTGAGCCAGAAAAAAATTGTTTAAGATTACTGCATCTGTATAGTGTGCTTTGGTATTTGGCAGGGCTAGTCTATCATTTTTTTTGTGTGTGTGATTATCTTTGCTACTTTTGGATATTTATTATTTCTAAGAATTATTGGTTTATACAAAATTTAGTTCTTAAAAATGCCAGTGAAATTTTATTGAAATTACATCAGTTGTATAGACTGGTTTGGGGGGAATCTACATCTTTACAATATTCTATCTTACCGTATGTTTTATTCAGAATTTTTAAGTATCCTTCAATAAAGTATTATAGTTTTCTTCTTACAGATTTAGCACATTTCTTGTTAAATTTGCTTGTAGTTATTTTTAGTTTTTGTAACTGTTAGAATGTGGTATATTTTCCAATGTAGTTTCTAAATCTAGTTACTGCTAATGTATAGGTTCCCACTGATTTTGTATGTTTATTTTGTATCTGTCTCTTTGAAATATTTACTGCTTGATCAGTTGATTTTTTGTTGTTGTTTTTATGCCAGCAGGATAGTTTTTTTTATTTGTCAGACATTGAACATGTATACATATTTTTCTCTTTTCACTATCTTGTCATAAGTGGCTGTGTTCCATAAGGCCCAGTGGGATCTGGCCTCAATTTATTTTATTTTTATGATTAATCTTTTTAGCGTTTGAGACAGTTGAGTTTTTAAGTCCTCTCCTCTGCCCTTACTCCCCTCCTGTCTCCTTCTCTTCCCTTCTTGCCTTCTTTCATTCCAGATGGAGTCTCGTTCTGTCACCCAGGCTGGAGTGAAGTGATGTGATCTCAGCTCACTGCAACCTCTGCCTCCTGGGTTCAAGCAATTCTCCTGCCTCAGCCTCCTAAGCAGCTGGATTACAGGCACCCACCACTGTTGAGCCAATTTTTTTGTAATTTTAGTAGACATGGGGTTTCACCATGTTTTGAACTGCTGATCTGCCTGCCTCAGCCTCCCAAAGTGCTAGGGTTACAGGTGTGAGCCACTGCGCGTGGCTGATTTTTAATATATTTTTTTAGACACAAAGGAAGGGTCTACTGTGGTGGCTCACTTCTGTAATTCCAGCATTTTGGGAGGCTGAGGTGGACAGAACACATGAGATTAGGAGTTCAAGACCAGTTTGGCCAACAAAGTGAAACCTTGTCTCTACTAAGAATACAAAAAAAAAAAAAAAAAAAAAAAAAAATTACCTGAGTATGGTGACATGCAGCTGAATCCCAGCTACTCCGGAGGCCGAGACAGGAGAATTGCTTGAATGTGGGAGGCAGAGTTTGCAGTGAGCTAAGATTGCGCCACTGCACTCCAGCCTGGGTGACAGAGTGAGACTCCATCTCAAAAACAAAACAAAATTAACTTTGTAGGTCAAACCAATTCAGGGAAAGAGGAAAAAGTGAAATTCAGAGTAAAGAGAAATTGCATCCGCGTTTAGGTTATCACATTCCCACACTCCCAATACCCATAAAACAAGAATTTCATTCCATGACACAAAGGAGCCTTTGTTACCTTGAATGGTAGTCCAGAAGTGTTGGTAGCACGGGGACTGGAACTAACAAAACAATTTTGTTTGTCCTTGAGTATTCGGTTCTGGGATAAATGAAACAAAGCCATCTGTCTGCTGCCCTACCACTCTGCTGCAGCCCTGCTGGCCCCTCAGCCCCTTACCCTTGCTCCTCCTTGCCACTAGGCCCATGTTCCCTCCACGTGCAGCCCTCTCCACTTGTTTCATTTCCTCATTTCCTTCTGTTTGCCCTCTCCAAGGTATGGGAACTACCCTCCACCTCTCACCACTTCACGTCCTTATGATATGTTCTGAGCAATGTGCCTTTGCAGCAGTTGTCTCTGTTGCAAGCTTGAAGTTTTACATTTGTTCTGGTGGTTATTTGGGTAAAAACAGACTCCCCAATTAGACTGCAAACTCTGGAAGGGCAGAGCCCATGTCTGTCCTTTGTCACACAGCATTGCCAGCACCTGGCACAGTGTCAGCCACATAGCAGGTGCCCATAAAATGTTATTCTGAAAGAATAAGTGATCACTCAGATAGTATCTGCTTCATATCTTCTATGAACCCACAGTACTCCTCCTTGATTTTCCAGTTTTTGATGTGTTGTTAAGCATTTTCTTTTTTGTTTTTGTTTTTCTTTTTCTGTTGTCATTTTAGTGAGATGTTTGGGAGGGATGAGAAAGAAACTGTGCTGTAGTCCCTGATTTTGAACCAAAAATGTTGACTTCTAATAAGTCTGTGCATAGTTATGCAATGTATTTCCACAGGCTGTTTTGTGATATGAGCTGTTCATTAAAATGCCACCTATAATTTTTGTTTTCCCTCAGGCTTACATTCAGAAAGTGGAGGTAACTGATATGATTGAACTGGAACAGAAATTAGTGGATTCCAGAAACTGCCTCGCTTTCCTCATTGAGCATGTCAACTTTTCTCCAGCAGACATTAGGCTAAATAATAGTGTTTTCCAGTGGTATGGAAGAATGGGAGAAATTTTTGAAGAGCACAGGAAAATCATTAAAGAGAAAATAGAACAATATCAAGAAGGTCTGAAGGTTGGCATCTTAAATATTTTATTTTCTGGAAATGTTTTACTTTTATCTTTTTACATAGCATTGTGAATTATTTTATTTCACAGAGCATACATTTTTAGCTTTCTCATAATGTTATAATCTCATACTATAAATGTTAATGGGAGACAGTAATATATCAGATCTTTTATAAGGCTTATTGGATGATTAAGGGGTGAGTTCATAGTATATTGATTAGTGTGCAGTCATTTCTTGATTTTTCAAGGTAACAGGAAAAAAAGTGTTGGAATATATTGTCCATAAATGATAGTTAATAAAAATAGTATTTATCTTACAGTACTATTTAGTTTACAGTACTATTCAGTTTTTAAAAATGATTTGAATATCAAAGCTCTCTTGGTGAAATGAGCTTTCATACCTCGTAATTGCTCACTCTCCTAAGCATTGTGCCAGAATCATCACTCAAACATTCAGTAACTCCAGCTTTTTTGCGGGGAGGGGAGTCTTAATAAGATGCTTTGTGATTTGCCCATTTCCCTGTCCAGCCTCATTGCCTGCTTCTCCCCACTCCTTGCTCATGACTTTTCAGTACCCCTGACAACTTCTAGGTGTTGCTCTCCTATGCTTCTTATCTCCTGCACATTCTCCCCATCACTCCAGAACACACCCCAGCCCCACACGTGCCTGTTGGTCTAGCACACTCTATTCATTTTTCTGAGAAGCCCTCTCCAGCAGACGTCAGTTCTGCTTCCCGTCTCCTGTACTCTCACTTTGACCACATCTCCATTGGACTAATTATCTGTTCATTATGTTAGTATTTTTAAGTTTGTCTCCTGATTGGACCATCAGCTCCTTGAAAGCAGGGCTGTTTCATCATTACCTTTCCCTATATCCATTGCCTAGCACAGTGGCTCACATACAGAAATGCTGTGAGAATTCCGTAGCTACTATCCTAATAAATGCCTTGGTATTTACAGTCTCGTTTTTCAGATGGAAGAGTAAGGTTCCCAAAGATTAAGAGACTTCTTCTAGGTCAGTCAGTACAGATGTCCTTTAATAGCAAACCATGGTCTTTCTATTACACTTATAGCAAATAGCTAATTGGCAAAACATGTTGTTTGAAGAATAATTCATATGCTTTAAAAAGTCTTCATTTTAAACTGTAATTAATATTTTTGTTTTACATTAAGACTATATCCACTATTTTAAAACTACAGAAAACATCAGTAATAAATATTAGGTGTTTAAGTTTCACTATAATAGACTCTTAGAAAATTGCTAAGTGGCCCGGAATTATTTATGCTATGTTTTAAAGTATGCTATTCCACAAACTATACATACTGTTGATGAGCTTTTCCTCTCATTTTCCTTCCCCTACTGTACCAGAGCAATAAATTTGCCAGGAAACTAGAGAAAAGAGGACAGAAATCAGCCTAGATAATCTATAAAATAGAAAATCTAATTTTGAATAACCTAAATTTTTTTGAATATTTTATTGAGCTATTTTTTAGAGCCATTTAGTTTGGAATGCCTTACTAGTAGCATTTATATAAGGGTTTCTCACTAAAAACATACACACCTGCCTTATATTAAACATTGTAGTTTTTAAGTGTTTAAATCTGGATTTATTTACCTTCCGCATTTCTTGTGAAGAGAGTCCATGGGACAAGAAAAAAAACCCTTGGAATATCTTGCTTTAATATTGTTAATTGAAATGATATCAGAGCACAATTAAAGAAATTCAGATTTTTCAGATGTTTATAAAAATACCATAGGTAAAAATTGAAATTTTCTTTTAGTCCTATCCTTGGTTATGAGATTTTTCAAATGCTGATAAATTATTTGTTTGCATAAATTCTTCAGCATATTAAAGATCACCATTCTCTAACATATTTTTATTCATTTTATTAGCTAGAACTTCTTACATAGCTAATACAGAGTAGATTTTTCTAATCTGCAAATTAGAAGAATCTTAATCCTTTTAATTTAAAATTTTTAAATCCTGCGTATTTCAGATCTCAGTCATTTTCTAGATCATCTCTTTATGTTTTAACAATGACAAAATATAATTATTCTGATAACTCCTATGTTAAAATATTTTGACACCAAGGGGTTTTAACTTTTAAGAATATTAACAAATTGTTTTTTTTTTTTAGTTACGGTGTGAACGGTTTGTGGAGGAGTTGGAGAGTTATGCTAAACAATCAGAAGAATTTTATTCATTTGGAGATCTTCAGGATGTTCAGCGGTACCTAAAAAAGGCTCAAATATTGAATGGAAAGTTGGATTCAGCTGCAGATAAGGTATAATTCAAAAATTCTTAAAAAGATGAATTAGTTCAAATGAAAAAGAATTGAATTCATTTTAGTTATTCACCTTTAAGAAATGGATTCAAATAAAACAGTTTAACCACATTTAATTAGAAGATAATGGAATGGCACAAATAGATTTTATAGACATGCTTCAAGGTGAAGCAGTATTGCTGTTTTCTATTGGTGGTGATACATTTTTTTCTATGTTAAAGATAGAGTTATGTATCAGTCTTCTTTTTAAACTTCCTTTGCATTATTTAATTATTTGCACCATGTGACAACATGGATAAACCTGGAGGACTTATGTTAAGTCAAATATGCCAGGCACAGAAAGACAAATACCACATGATCTCAATTATAGTGGAATCTAAAAAAGTGAACTCATAGAAGCAGAGAGTAGAAGAATGCCTACAAGGGTAGGGCAGATGGGTAGTGGGGACTGGGTAGGATGTTCATCAAAGGATAAAAAATTTAAGTTAGGAGGGATACATTTAGGGTCTCTATTGTGTATTATATGCTTGAACATTACTAAGAGAGTAGATTGTGTAGTGTTCTCATTACAAAAAAGTAAGTGTGCAAAGTAACATATGTTAGCTTTATTTAGCCATTCCACAATGTATACATGTTCTCAAAACGTGTTGGGCACCATAAATATATACATTTTTGTCAATTAAAAAAGAAATAGGAAAACAAGATTACATCGTACACCATAAATATATACATTTTTGTCAATTAAAAATGAATTAAGTAAATTGGAAAATGAGATTACTGCTTAGTTTTTCTATATTATTGAAGTTTAACTTCAGGGCTTAGTGAGGGTCTTTTGGGTCACATTTGAAATAGATATTTTTAAAAACTTAATTTTCAGCATCATTCACTCTTGAAATAACTAATATTTTCAATACCTATCCTTTCAGATTGAGCAGTTTAATGCTGAAGAGGAAGCATTTGGTTGGCCACCATCTGTATATCCTCAACGTAAAAAAATCCAAGATGGCTTGAACCCTTATCTTCGTCTTTATGAAACTGCTGTCGAATTTAGCAGCAAATATAGAGCATGGACAGAAGGACCATATCACAAAGTGAATCCAGACCAAGTAGAAGCAGATGTTGGAAATTATTGGAGAGGACTATATAAACTGGAGAAAACCTTTCAAGATTCTCCACAGGCATTGACAATGACAAAAAAAGTAAGATCAAAGGTGGAAGATTTCAAGCAGCACATTCCTCTCATTCAAGTGCTCTGTAATCCCGGTTTGCGCCCCAGGCACTGGGAGGCCATGTCTGCCATTGTCGGTTACCCTTTGCAGCCATCAGATGACTCCACAGTCTTCTCTTTTTTAGACATGAATCTGGAGCCGTATCTAGACAGATTTGAAGGTATTAGTGAAGCAGCTAGCAAAGAATATTCTCTGGAAAAGACGATGGAGAAGATGATTAATGAATGGGATGCAGTGGAATTTGTCATCCATTCTTACAGAGAAACTGGGACATTTATTTTGGCATCAGTTGATGAAATTCAGATGTTGTTGGATGACCATATTGTAAAAACACAAACTATGCGAGGATCTCCTTTCATTAAGCCTTATGAGAAACAAATGAGGTAAGGTGATACTTATATGGCAATGTTTATGCTGTGTTACAAAGATCACTTGTATTTAATGTAAAGTTCTTTTCAGAATTGATTCTGCATTTCACACTTAATGTTTCATACTTAATATTTTATTTCTTTTGATAATTGATTATGCATTTCATACTTAGCATTTCATACTAAATATTTAATATAATTAAATATTTAAAGATATAATCAATGGCTTCATTGCTATTGGAAGACTGCTGACCCTTTGCTATCATCTTAATGGTTTGTTAACGTCTATATTCATAGCGAAGACAGTGGACAATCAACATCCAGATATTCATTTTTATTGCCTACAATACAAATAAGATCAAAATATGATCTTATTTCTTAATTCTCAAAAATAATTTTGTATCTGTAAACTCAAGATAATTTTATTTTAAAAATATATTAGCTTATTGTAGAGGATTGCTGAATATCTATTGTAATTTCTACTTATATGCATGAAGGATGGCAAATAAGTGAAAAAGAATGAAACTATAATTTTAGTTGGGGGTTTTAAGCATCATACTATACAGCCAGTTAAATTAAGCCTATCCTGTCTGTCAATGTTTCCAGTTTTTGTTATTTATATTAAGCAGGTTATATATTACCTTGAAAAAAAAAGTCCATTAAAATCAGACTACTGTCTTGAGTGGATTTGCATGGCAAGGGAATGCTAATGGCTTGGTAGTATCTGCCACTGGTGACTGAGGTGTTATCTATCATACACTTGGGAATGCTCTGATTGGCCTTGGCTCATTCTCTGTGTTTGGTATTTCTGCCTCCTGCCAGCTTGCTCCAGTGTGCACATTAAGAGAAGAATTTTTGAACTACTCTGAAAGTGGTATATCTAGATTGTATTTTAAGGTACTAAGCATGATATCATTAGCTACTTGGAAATTTTCTTAATCAAGCAAAGATTAGAAAAAGAGGGAGGAATAGCAGAAGAAAGCAGAGGCATTTGGGTCTTTTGGTGCAAAGAGGTTAAACAAATTTCCTGATAAACATTGAAAGAAAAATATTTTAGGAAGACATCTGAAAATGACTGGTGACTTGGAAAACTCATTAACATTTCTTTGTTTTAAAGATCTAAAATCACAGATCACCATTTCAATGATGAGTAATGTGTTAATATACGTAAGACTATGCCACATCTAAGTTCTGTTGCTATTAATAAATCATTCTTCCCTATGACTATGTTACCTCTGACAGCAGAATAATTACAACTGTCTGGGTTCAAATCTTGGCTCTATTGTTTATTATCTGGCTAAACTTGAGCCTGGCACTTGTCTCTCTGTGCCTTAGTCTCTCCATTGATAAATAGATGTTACAGTGGACGCTACCTCATGGGGTGACATGATGATGGAGTAAACAGATAGAGACCTTAGAACTTTGCTTGTAGGCCGGGCGCGGTGGCTCAAGCCTGTAATCCCAGCACTTTGGGAGGCCGAGGCGGGTGGATCACAAGGTCAAGAGATCAAGACCATCCTGGTCAACATGGTGAAACCCCGTCTCTACTAAAAAAACTACAAAAAATTAGCTGGGCATAGTGGCGCGTGCCTGTAGTCCCAGCTACTCAGGAGGCTGAGGCAGGAGAATTGCCTGAACCCGGGAGGCGGAGGTTGCGGTGAGCCGAGATCACGCCATTGCACTCCAGCCTGGGTAACAAGAGCGAAACTCCGTCTCCAAAAAAAAGAACTTTGCTTGTAAAATTATTAGTTTATGGAGTAATTATATTTATTCTTCAGGAAATTAAATCATTATATTCTTTATATTTAGAAATGAACTAGTAATCTGTAAATTTAAATATTCCATCTTCTCATGAATGCCACACTACTTTGGAGGATGTAGATTTTTCTTTAAATGTCAGTTACATCTTATAAATTGAAATACAGTTGACCCTTGAACAATTTAGAGTTTTAGGGGTGCTAACCCCCAAAACACAGTTGAAAATCTGCGTATAAATTTTGGCTCCCCAAAACCTTAACTACAAATAGCCTACTGTTAACTAGAAGCCTTACAATAACATAACACATATTTTGAATGTTACATGTATTACATACTGTATTCTTAGAGTAAGCTGAAGAAAATGTTATTAAGAAAAATCATGAGAGAAAAATGTTTACTATTCATTAAGTGGCAGTGGATCATCGTGTAGATCTTTATCCTCCTCATTTTCATGTTGAGTATACTGAGGAGGAGGAGGAAGAAGAGGGGCTGGTCTTGCTATCTTAGGGGTGGCAGAAGCAGAAGAGGTTGAGGGGGTGGAATTGGAGACAGGAGAGACAGGCACAGTCCATGTAACCTTTATTGAAAAAAATGCATGTAAAAGTGGACTGCACAAACCTATGTTGTTGAAGGGTTAACTGTATTTTAGAAATAAAAACTGTATTTTAGAAATAAAAGCTTTATTCTAGAAATAAAGCCTTTATGAGCCCAAATTAAGGGGAGAGAAAAGAACGTTAAAGGAAAGGAGTATTGAATGTAACTACCTTTCCTCAGAAGCTCAGAGTACCCTTCATTGGGCATACCTTTACTGTCAACAAAATCTCGTTTTTCCAGTTTTACCCTCTAGTCATGGAACTGGATAGCAGAAAGATTTATTGTTATACCATATACAGAAACCAGTCCAATTGTAGATAAGTGTATCTTAACATGTATATCTATATAAGAGTAAATGTTATATTATTATCTTTAAACATATTTTGTAGAACAAATCTAGAGATTTATCTTTAAATGCAACTAGATGAATGGAATTGGAATAACAACATTATATACAAGATTGACAACCTAGTTGTGGTTTTGAATTTTGTCATTTGAAACATTTGCTTGGTTTGCTGTCTATAAGAGCCACTGTGTTTCGCTCCTCAGAGAATGGGAGGGCAAGCTCCTACTGCTTCAGGAGATTCTGGATGAATGGCTCAAGGTCCAAGCCACGTGGTTATATCTGGAGCCCATTTTCAGCTCTCCAGACATTATGTCTCAAATGCCTGAGGAAGGTAGACGATTTACAGCTGTGGATAAGACGTGGAGAGATATAATGAGAATTGTCATACAGGTAGGTGAAGAAATCTCCAAAAATGTCATTATTTAGTTGAAGTGATATGATTTTATTTTCAGAAATCCATATAAGCCATTATTGTTTCCAATAAGCCATTATCTATTTATCACATACATTATCTTTTCAGCTATTATTTTAGAATGCCAGGAGCAGAAAATGTCACAAGCAAAATTAGCTATTTTGTCCTGATTACTCCTTGAGGTCCAAACTGAATTTGCATTATTTAACAACCTCGGGCTCTATTAGTGGTTCTTATCTGATGCTCTGGTAGGAAGACACTGTATGAGGTACTTAGAGTCTCCATCTATTCTGTGACTCTCTTGTGGAATGCAACCCACTGAAACTCACTGTGGTGCACACATGTCAGCATGCCAACCACTCAACACATTTTTTCTGGTAGGGAAAGATAAATATATCTATAAAGTTGCAAAGATAAATGCATGTAAAATGTCTGATAAATGCAAATAAAATACAATTTAAAAATATGCAAATACTGTGGAGGAGAACTTACAATTTAAGCTAAGGAAGAAATTTAATAAAAACCAGTAACACTAAAAAATGTATGTTTTTTGTTTCATTCAGAAGACTTTTTCTTTTCTTTCTTTCTTTTTTTTTTTTAAATGAGTCTCACGCTGTTACCCAGGCTGGAGAACAGTGGCACAGTCTCGGCTTACTATAATCTGCCTCCCAGACTCAAGCAATTCTCCTGCCTCAGCCTGCTGAGTAGCTGGGATTATAGGCATGTGACACCATGCTCAGCTAGTTTTGGTATTTTTAGAAGAGACAGGGTTTCACCATCTTGACCAGGCTGGTCTTGAACTCCTGACCTCAAGTGGTCTGCCCACCTCGGCCTCCCAAAGTGCAGGGATTACAGGTGTGAGCCACCATGCCTGGCAGAAAACATTTATTTACTGCCTCTGAAGCATGGCTGTGTGTCATTGAAGATTAAAATAGAAAAACATTGGTTACTAAATCATATCATTAAATGATTATAAACTTCTGCACTGGTATTTTGATAAAGTATAATACTGTAAGGTAGAATAAATATTATCTTAAAAATGTCCTACCCTGAAATGGCAATATGCAAATCTTAATTATTACTTAAAAAGCTGTTACTATAATCCCCAATACTGATAATACTATATTGACATCAACTATATGATTTGATAGGAAAATATTCAGAAACATGGACATTGTTTTATTTATTGACTCTTTACCTCATATATATAATAATACCTGAAACAAATCTCTGTATAAACCAAACTTTTGTAAAATTAATCACATTTGATTAATTCCATATTTAAAGTACCTATTAGTAAGTCATTTTGTAACATAATCATCTCTATGTCATAAATTCAGTCTTTTATATATCATTTCCTTATAGCAGTGCAAAATCCTTATAATATGGATATATTTTGATTTGAAAGGCAATGAAGGAGAATTTTTTTTTGTTTAAAAAAGCTAAAAATAGATACTTGTATTTTCTTTCTTTTTTTTTTTTTTTATTGAGACAGAGCCTCACTCTGTCCCAGGCTGGAGTGCAGTGGTGCAATCTAGGCTCACAACAACCTTCACCTCCTGGGTTCAAGTGATTCTCCCGCCTCAGCCTCCTGAGTAGCTGAGACTACAGGTGCACGCCACCATGCCCAGCTAATTTTTGTATTTTTAATAGGGATGGGGTTTCAACATGTTGGCCATGATGGTCTCAACATCTTGACCTCGTGATCTACCCACCTCAGCCTTCCAAAGTGCTGGGATTATAGGCATGAACTACTGCACCAGGGAGATACCTCTATTTTTTTTAGTTAGTATATTTAAAAAATTAAATTCTTTTTCTGATATATAATCAAAATACTCTTCAATAATCCATATTGCTAACAAACTTTATAGATATCTCAATTCTTTGTAAGAGTAGCTATTTTGAGCCTAGTAAATAAAGGAGGCATATTTTTATCCTATAAAACCCCTGCAAACAAACAAAAACATTACTTACCCTCATTCCTAAATAAGTAGATATTTTCTGTTGGGGAGGGGAGAGTAACATTTTGCTTAAGACTTGATTGTCTTTCTCATCTGCTCTGTATTTTTTCTTCTCCATATGTTAGTATGCAGGGAAGCTTTTGCTCATACTCCCCAAAGCACTGAAAATAAGCATACACCAATATTCTCTTAGAAAGTCTAATGAGATTATGTGTATAGTAGAGGCTAATGGATTAAGCTTGATACATAAAATTATTGCCTTCATTCTAAAAAGTTCGTAATAAAGATTGTTTTAAAAACCTCAGGTTAAAAATAGGATGTAAATACTGTTGTTAATATTACTGGCTTGCAGCGTAAACAAAGCTGCCAGGAAGTTTGAACTGGGCAGAGCCCACTGCAGCTTGGCAAAGCTACTGTAGCCAGATTACCCCTCTAGATTCCTCCTCTCTGGGCAGGGCAGCTCTGAAAGAAAGGCAGCAGTCCCATTCAGGGGCTTATAGATAAAACTCCTCATCTCCCTGGGACAGAGCAACTGGAGGAAGGGGTGGCTGTGAGTGCAGCTTCAGCAGACTTAAACGTTCCTGCCTGCCAGCTCTGTAAAGAGCAGTGGATCTCCCAGTACAGTGTTCAAGCTCTGCTAAGGGACAGACTGCCTCCTCAAGTGGGTCCCTGACCCCTGTGCCTCCTGACTGGGAGACACCTTCCAGCAGGATTTAATGGACACCTCATACGGGAGAGTTCTGACTGGCATCTTGCTGATGCCGCTTTGGGATGAAGCTTCTAGAGGAAGGAACAGGCAGCAATCTTTGCTGTCCTGCAACCTCTGCTGCAGACACTGAAGAAACTGCATCAACTAATGGGCAAAATAACCAGCTAGCATCATGATGGCAGGATCAAATTCACACATAACAATATTAACATATTAATAATATATTATTAACATTGACCCTAAATATAAGTGGGCTAAATGCCCCAGTTAAAAGACATAGACTAGCAAATTGGATAAAGAGTCAAGACCATTGATGTGCTGTATTCACGAGACCCATCTCACATGCAAAGACACACATAGGCTCAAAATAAAGGGGTGGAGGAATGTTTACCAAGCAAATGGAAAGAAAAGAAAGGGGGGGTTGCAATCCTAGTCTCTGATAAAACAGACTTTAAACCAACAAAGATTAAAAAAGAGAAAGAAAGGCATTAATAATGGTAAAGGGATCAATGCAACAAGAAGAGCTAACCATTTTAAATATATATGCACCCAATACAGGAGCACCCAGATTTGTAAAGCGAGTTCTTAGAGACCTACAAAGAGACTTAGACTCCCACACAATAATAATGGGAGACTATAACCCCCCACTGTCAATATTAGACAGATCAGTGTGACAGAATGTTAACAGGGATATTCGGGACTTGAACTCGGCTCTGGACCAAACGTATCTAATAGTCATCTACAGAACCCTCCACCCCAAATCAACAGAATATACATTCTCAGCACCTCATCACGTTTATTCTAAAATTGACCACATAGTTGGAAGTAAAACGCTCCTCAGCAAATGCTAAAAACAGAAATCCTAACAGTCTCTCAGACCACAGTGCAAACAAAGTAGAACTCAGGATTAAGAAACTCACTCAAAACCGCCCAACTACATGGAAACTGAACAACCTGCTCCTGAATGACCACTTGGTAAATCATGAAATTAAGGCAGGAATAAAGTTGTTATTTGAAACCAGTGAGAACAAAGACACAAAGTACCAGAATCTCTGGCACACATTTAAAGCAGTGTGTAGAGAGAAATTTATAGCAGTAAATGCCCACAAGAGAAATCAGGAAAGATCTAAAATTGACACTCTAACATCACAATTAAAATAACTAGAGAAGCTAGAGCAAAGAAATTCAAAAGGTAGCAGAAGACAAGAAATAACTAAGATCAGAGCAGAACTGAAGGAGACAGAGACACAGAAAACCCTTCAAAAAAATTAGTGAATCCAGGAGCTGGATTTTTGAAAAGGCTAACAAAATAGACTGCTAGTCAGACTAATAAAGAAGAAAAGAGAGAAGAATCAAATAGACACCATGAAAAATGATAAAGGGGATATCACCACTGATTCCACAGAAATAGAAACTACCATCAGAGAATACTGTAAACATCTCTATGCAAATAATCTAGAAAATATAGAAGAAATATATAAATTCCTGGAAACATACACCCTCTCAAGACTAAACCAGGAAGAAGTCAAATCCTAAATAGAGCAATAACAAATTCTGAAGTTGAGGCAGTAATTAATAGCCTACGAATCAAAAAAACCAGGACCAGAAAGATACACAGCCGAATTCTGCCAGAGGTACAAAGAGGAGCTGGTACCATTCCTTCTGAAACTATTCCAAGCAGTAGAAAAAGAGGGACTCCTCCCTAACTCATTTTATGAGTCCAGCATTACCCTAATACCAAAACCTGGCAGAGACACAACTAAAAAAGAAAATTTCAGGCCAGTATCCCTGATGAACATTGATGCAAAAACCCTCAATTAAATACTGATAAACCGAATCCAGCAGCATGTCAAAAAAATTTATCCATAAGGATCAAGTCAGCTTCATCCCTGGGATGCAACAGATCAATAAACATAATCCATTATGTAAACAGAACCGATGACAAAAACCACAGGATTATCTCAATAGGTGCAGAAAAGGCCTTTGATAAAATTCAACACCCTTTATGCTAAAAACTCTCAATAAACTAGGTATTGATGGAATGTATCTCAAAATAATAACTATTTATGACAAACCCACAGTCAATATCATACTGAATGGGCAAAAGCTGGAAGCATTCCCTTTCAAGACTGGCACAAGACAAGGATGCCCTCTCTCACCACTCCTATGCTACATAATATTGGAAGTTCTGGCCAGGGCAATCAGGCAAGAGAAAGAAATAAAGCATATTCAAATAGGAAGAGAGGAAGTCAAATCGTCTCTATTTGCAGATGACATGACTGCATATTTAGAAAACTCCATCATCTCA